GGCAGGCAAGAAGAAAAGGACCCACCCGCAAGCGCAGACTACTTCGAGCCTAATTAGCGCCGCGGGTGCCAGTCGTTCAGTCAGCGCCGAGCTCCACTCAGCAAGGCGAGCACATCTGGCATCAGCGACACCGCGGTAGAGGCTCCCTCCTCCCGCAGTCGCAACGCCGCGCTGGCTACAGGTGTTACAAGCCAGGGGACACGAAGACGATCCAAGAGAGTGTCAAGACAGCGTCAGAGAGTTCAACAGCATTCCCCAAACATTATTGCATGTGCCCCCGAAGTCCTGATGGGGCTCGAGAAAGAGGATAAGGAGTAGGAATCCCAACTGGAAAAAAACGGGAATCATTGGAATTCCTCCTTTTTCTCTCTCAAATTCCTCGGTCTTGGAGCTTTGGAAGCGGGAAAACGTGAGAAGGCGAAAAACGTAGACAAAACCCACAGGGAAGCAAAGATCCTCTTCGGGCTCTCTCGGGACGGCTCTCGAAGCTCTCTTGGGCTGTTTGGGGGGCCTCGTCGGGAATTTTTGGGGAGCCTCTCAAGGGTCTGGGGTGCGTTGGAGGCCTCTGGGGGGTCCCGGAGTCCTCTCAAAGGTCTCTGGAGGCCTCCTGCTCCCGCTCTTGGGCTCACCGTGGGCCTGTTCTGGGGTGGGCTGTCCTGGGCGCCTCTTCGGCAGTCTTGGGGCCGTCTTGGCCCGTCCTGGGGCCGTCTTGGGGGCCTCTTGGGCGGTCTCGGGGCGGTCTTGGGGGCCTCTTCGGCCGTCTTGGAGCGTTGGAAGCATGAGGTGGCGAGAAGGCCAAAAACCCTGAACAAAAACAATGAAAATTAACGATTTGAGGTTCTCCGGGCGCTCTCGGAAGGCCTCTCGGAGCTCTCTTGAGGTCTTTTGGGGTGCCTCTCGGAACGTCTTGGGCTGATTTTGGAAGCCTTTTGGCGCCTCTGGGCGGCGTTTTGGCGCCTCCTGGGATATGTTGGGCCGGAAGCTCGGAATTCGAGGTGGCTTTCTCCGTCTGGGACCCCTCTCGAAGTCGTCTTGGGGTTCTCTTGGGCCGTCTTGGGGCCGTCCTGAGCCACTCGTGCGCAGCCTTGGAGCGCTCCCGGAGGCCTCCTAGGCCGTCTTGGAGGCCTCTTGGGCCGTCTTGGACGCGGTGAAAGCCCAAGATGCGAACATGCGAAAAATATACGTTTTCCCATAGGAATGGCACGATTTTTGTTTCTTGGACCTCTCTTGGGGTGCCTCTCGGAACGTCTTGGGGTGCTTTTGGAGCCTTTTGGCGCCTCTTGGCGGCATTTTGGCGCCTCCTGGAGCCTCTTGGGCCGGAAGCTCGGAATTCGAGGTTGGCTTTCTCCGTCTGGGACCCCTCTCGAACTCGTCTTGGGGCTCTCTTGGGCCGTCTTGGGGCCGTCCTGGGCCACTCGTGCGCAGCCTTGGAGCGCTCCCGGAGGCCTCGTAGACCGTCTTGGGCGCCTCTTGGGCCGTCTTGGACGCGGTGAAAGCCCAAGAGGCGAACATGCGACAAATATTGGTTTTCCCATAGGAATGGCACGATTTTTGCTTCTTGGGCCCCTCTTGGGCTGCCTCTCGGAGCGTCTTGGAGGCTTCTGGGACCTTCTTGGTGTCATGACAGGCGTCTTGGAAGGCATCTGGAGCCATCGGAGCGCGTTCCGAAGCCGCCTGCGAACGATGTTGGACGGCGTCCGGCGGTCCGACGAGCCTCCGGGCCCCCCGGGGCCCACATTTGTGGTCGGGGTCCCGGCCCCGGGCCCCCGGACCCGGTGCGCCGTTATATGTATATTATATTACATTATTTTATATAACATTATATTATAGTGTACAGTATTGTATTGTATTGTATTGTATTGTATTGTAGTATATTGTATTGCCTTATATTATATTATGTTATATCATATCATATTATATTACATCGTAGTGTGTTATATCATATTATATTCTATCATATTACATTATGTTCTATTGTATGGAATTATATTACATTTTAGTATAATATGATGTGTTATAATATGTAATATTTATATATATATATATATTATATTATATGACATTATATGATATTATATGATATCATATCTATGATACCGGAGAACAGCTCCAATCGGAATCATTTTTGATCTTGCACGAGATCCCTTTGTGATTGCTCCTTAGGCTTATGAAGACTGCGAGGGCTATGAAGGCCATGAGGGCTAGAGCTATAGGGCGAGGGCTACAGGGCTATAGGGCTATAGGGCTACATGGCTGTCAGGCTATACGGCTACAGGGAGGGCTGTAGGGCTATAGGGCTAAAAGGCTACAGGGCTGTCAGGCTATACGGCTATAGGGCTGTAGGGCTTCAGGGCTACGGGGATATAGGGCTACAGGACTATAGGGCTATGTGGGTTATTGGGCTACAGGGCTATAGGGCTTTAGAGCTGTAGGGCTATAGGGCTATAGGGCTATGGGGCTGTAGGGCTACATGGCTACAGGGTTATAGGGCTATAGGGCTATAGGGCTATAGGGCCATTGGGCTATAGGGCTATAGGGCTATAAGGCCATAGGGCTCTAGGGCTCTAGGGCGATAGAGCACCCGGGCACCCCTGGGCACCTCGGGGCACCCCCGGACACCTCCGGGCACCCCCGTGCACCCGGGCACCCGGGCACCCCCGGGCCCCTGGGCACCCGGGCACCTGGGCCGGCCACGGAAATCGGCGACGTAGGTCACCTACACATATTAATCCGCTAGGACCCCTACAGAGGCAAGCTCTGATTGGGGAATCTATACACCTAACATGTTTACCTACAAATTATGTAAGCTTACATCATGCATATACTTGCGTACTTACAAAATGTATACTGTGCTCTGTGCAAGTAGTATACACAGTATGTACACTTACACAGAGTACAATCGAACTTATGATCCAGAAGGTGATCGGTTAAGCAACCTAGGCCAGATTTCCGAAGTCTCTCGAAACAAGCCTGGGCCAACTTATTTGTGCCCGCTGGCCCAGCTTTTCAGGATGAGGCTTCGTAATCAGATGCTCGACTGTACATGAAGGCCTGTTCGAACTGGCATAGTATGTGCTGCTGGAAATGCTGCCGAACGCCAAGCAGTGACGTCGGCCCTGAGGCCCGAGCAGCGGGAATGAGCAGGAAGCGAGCGGAGAGGAGCGATGGGGGTAGCGAGGAGGAAGAGGAGCGAGTGAGGAGGGAGGAGGGAACCGTCGCGGGGATCTCTGGGGCGCTCCTGCGGCCCTTGCAAGGCTGCGCGAAGTGGCAGAAGGGAGATGCGATGCGGGGGAAATGGGCCTGCGGCTGGAAGAGAGAGGAGCGGGGGAACAGCAGAGAGGAGCGAGCAGCGAGGAGTGAGATGAGCAAGGAACAAGGAGACATGGGCGATGAGCGAAGGGTTTGGGAGAGCACATGGGGAGCGCTTCGTGGACCACCGTCCACGACAGAAGGCAGCGTACTGCAAGAGTGAGGCTCGCTTGCCTGCTGGCCTGCTCGCTTGCTGACCTGCCTGCGCGATTGCTAGTCTGGTGGCCTGATAACTTTTGGCCGGATCGCCTGCTTTCCATTGTCCTCGTTCCATTGCTTGCCCGCTTGCTGATGCTTGGTGCTGCAGGGTAGAACTTGCTACTGTATATAGGCGCTGTTCTTTCTCGCTGGCACAAGCGGCCGTTGCGGCCTGCTGCCCGATACGGCCTGGCGCTGCTGCGTGCTGCTACAGTGTGCTACTGCTGCTGCTGCTGCTGCTGCTGCTGCTGCTGCTGCTGCTGCTGCTGCTTGCTGCCGCCGTTGCGCGCTGTTGGTTATGCTCGCCGCTGCTGCTTGTGGCTGCAGGGCGCTGCAGAATGCCAATGCTGCTTGCTGTTGCTGTGTGCTTCCGCTGCGTGAGGGTGCTGCTTCTCGCTACTCCTGCTAGCCGATGCAGCCTGCTGCTCTTGAGAGGATCGAGGAACGAGGAGTCAGGATCGATGAGGGAGTTTGGAACAGCGAGGAGCAATGAACGAGACGAGAGGAGCGACGGCAGAGGGATGGACAGCCGAGGAATGAAGCGGGAGATGCGAGTAGCCAAAAGGGAGGAACCAGAGGCCAGAAGAGTTGCGAGGGGCGAGGAGTGAGAAGAGAGGAGCAACGCGAGAGGAAGGGCTGGCGAGGAGCAGTGGGTGAGGAGCGAGGAGCGTAGAGTGCGGAACGAGAAGCGAGGATGGAGGCGCGAGAACGGGCCAGCACACGAAGGTTCCAATGGCCTCGGCGCGCCTTTGGCCGAACACGTGGTCTCCTCGGAGGTCGCTCCAGGAGCTTGCCTGGGGCTAGTTTTGGGGCCCTCTTTGGGCCTAACTTGGGGCCTCCCTGCGCCTCCCAGGGCCGTCTGGGCGTCCCTTCCCTGGTGCTGCCGCGGCAGGGCTCCGAAGGCGCTCTGGGGGGTCCCTGGGGCCCTGCAGCGGCCATGCTTGGGGCCCGCCTTGGGGCGAGCTGGCATCGTGGGCCCTCCTGGGTGGTGGGGGGCCTCGTGGGCCCCGGGGGCCTGCCTGGAGGTGCCCCCGGGCTGGGCCGCAGAGTGGGACGCAGTGGAGGCGCAGGAAGGCCCAGCACGCATCTCGCGCGACACTCGCCTGCGGGGAGCCCTCGGCGCAGGCTCCGCAGGGTCTCTCGGGGCCACCTCGGCGCCGTCGTGGGGCGCCCTGGGGGCTCCCGGGGGCCGCCCGAGGACCCCCCCCCGCGGCCCTGCGCGGGCTCCGCAGAGCCGCCCGAGGGCGTCTTGGAGGCGCCCCGAGGCCGGTCGGAGGCCCTCGGGGGACTGCTGGGGGAGAGGCCCGGACGCCTTTCGGGCTCCGCTCCGGCGGCCGTCTGGAGGCGCCGATGGGGGCACTCGGGACAGGGCTCTTCCTGCACGCGCGGACTCCCGCATGCTTTTGTCTTGGGGGGGGTGGGCGAGAGGAAGGGAGCGGGCAACGACTGATCCGCTGCCCCTCAAGGGGGCTACAACCCTGCTCAATGCGGGCAGAGATGACGTCGGGCTCCAACTTCGCCTCCCGAATCTCCCTGAGCAAAGACACGGCCTCCAGCCATCGCGCGCTTTTCTGGCACGCGCTGATCCCTGCGACATAGCTGATCAAATGGGACTCCAACGTTTTCCCACGCATCTCGCGGAGCAATGACAGAGCCTGCTGCCACTGCTCACCTTTTTCGCATGCGCTGATCCCAGCATTGTAGCTGATGAAGTCGGGCTCCAGCTTCGCCTCACGCATCTCGCCGATCAACGTCAACGCCCGGTGCCACTGAGAACCCTTCCCGCACGCGCTGATTCCAGCGTTGTAGCTGAATAGTTTGAACCTGTGGAAAATCCATGGCTGGCAAATCAGGATGTCAATCCCTAACGCGCATGTGTTGCCGACGCCTGCGGATTTGCCCAGGGGTTTGCTGCAGGCTCCGTGCTCCAGGGCTGGATGCTGTCTTCGAGTGTCTTGGTAGGGTCTGGGCTACCTCGGAATAGTCCTTGGAGAGTTCTTATAGCATCGAAGGCTTCCCGAAACCCAGTCTCGCTGCAGCCCCTTGCAGGAGGAGGAGGCGAGGGAGGAGGAGGAGGAGGAGGAGGAGGAGGAGGAGGAGGAGGAGGAGGAGGAGGAGGAGGAGGAGGAGGAGGAGGAGGAGGAGGAGGAGGAGGAGGAGGAGGAGGAGGAGGAGGGAGGAGGAGGAGGAGGAGGAGGAGGAGGAGGAGGAGGAAAGCGGTACTGGAGATGGAGAGAGTGCATGCTCCCAGAGGAGGGAGCCGAGGCAGAGAAGATGGGAGAAGGGCCCCCTTCTCACCCCGAATCTGACTGGGGAGTGTAGGAGAAAGAGAGCGGTGCCAGGGAGAGGGAGGTACAGGCTCGCAGGCGAAGTTGCCAGGGTAGAGCAGAGAGAGGGAGGTCCACCTTGTCACCCCCGATCGCTTGGGGGCGGGGGGGCGGGGGCGAGACGTGCCGGGGTGTGGGGGGGGCAGAAGAAGAGGGAGTGAGGCGCAGGAGAGCGAACAAGAGGCCAAGGAGGAGGAGAGTAGCTCTGGAGCGGGGGTTGTCTTCGGATGATTTTGGGGCCTGGGGAGACCGCAAAGGTGCAGGTGCTGCTGCAATGGCTCTGAAGTGTCTACATGTCCCCTTTGCCAGCCAGCCCGACTCGCCTGGTCGGGGACCCCAGAGTGGCTGGAGCTTGGAGGAAGGGGGGCCAAGGAGAAGGATCATGATGAGGAGGAGGAGGAGGAGGAAAAGGAGGAAAAGGAGGAGGAGGAGGAGGAGGACCAGTGTAAACCAAAGAGTCAACGACGTTGGAATTAACCTTCCCTCCAAGCTCCCTCCCCGGAAGCCCCTACAGCGGCTCACTTCCATTGAGGGAACTGCCTCGTTGGAAGACACCCTTGAAGACCTTGAAGCATGCCAAAGCATGGTTCTCGGGATTTCAACGCCACGGATCAACCTGACTGCTGCGTCGTGACGATCCGGAATCGTGCCAAAACGCCATTTTTGGGACTTCAGCACCGCGAGTCAACATAGCTGTTGCAACCGCATAATCCCGAACCGCTCCAAAACGCAATTCTGGTACGTTGATACTGGGAATCCGTGAAACTCTTCCGCATCTCATGAATGAATTTGCGCGGCGCTAAAGCGAGAACCACATTTCGAAAACCACCCGTCCTCAATCCGTGAACCTCTTGCGAATTTTCAAAAAATTCCAGGCGAAAGACCCAACCATATGCAGTTGTGAATACCGCAATTGTGAATACCATCTTCGCCCGCGCTCCCTATGTGGCCACGGCTTCCCGCCAGAGCCCGACATGCTCAGGGACACGTTCGTGGCCGTCTTCGCGGGCGCCGACGACGACAAGGACGGCGTCCCTCTCACCGAGGAGCAAAAGCAGGAGAGGGCCCTGAGAGCCATGAGGGAGGAGGTGGCGTTGCACGTCGACAAGGAGGAGTACGACGCCCAGGCGCGGTTGTTGAAGCAACACAACTATGGGGCCACGATCCTCGTGAGGGATGTGCCGCAGTGGCCCGGGGCCGCCATGCGAACCCTGCCACTGACGCCTTCGCTGGAGCTCCCTATGGGGCCACGATCCTCGTGAGGGGTGTGCCGAAATGGCCCGAGGCCGCCATGCGAACGCTGCCACTGGCGCCTTCGGTGGAGCTCCCTTATGGGGCCACGATCCTCGTGATGGGGTGTGCCGAAATGGCCCGAGGCCGCCATGCGAACCCTGCCACTGGCGCCTTCGGTGGAGCTCCCTTATGGGGCCACGATCCTCGTGAGGGGTGTGCCGAAATGGCCCGAGGCGAACGCTGCCACTGGCGCCTTCGGTGGAGCTCCCTATGGGGCCACGATCCTCGTGAGGGGTGTGCCGAAATGGCCCGAGGCCGCCATGCGAACGCTGCCACTGGCGCCTTCGGTGGAGCTCCCTTATGGGGCCACGATCCTCGTGAGGGTGTGCCGAAATGGCCCGAGGCCGCCATGCGAACGCTGCCACTGGCGCCTTCGGTGGAGCTCCCTATGGGGCCACGATCCTCGTGAGGGGTGTGCCGAAATGGCCCGAGGCCGCCATGCGAACGCTGCCACTGGCGCCTTCGGTGGAGCTCCCTATGGGGCCACGATCCTCGTGAGGGGTGTGCCGAAATGGCCCGAGGCCGCCATGCGAACGCTGCCACTGGCGCCTTCGGTGGAGCTCCCTTATGGGGCCACGATCCTCGTGAGGGGTGTGCCGAAATGGCCCGAGGCCGCCATGCGAACGCTGCCACTGGCGCCTTCGGTGGAGCTCCCTTATGGGGCCACGATCCTCGTCAATCCGTGAAGCTCTTGCAACTTTTCCAAAAAGAATGTGCGCGGCGCTGAGGCGAAAACCACATTTCGAAAACCACCCGCCCTCACTCCGTGAAGCTCTTGCGTATTAAAAAAAAGAATGCGCGCGGCGCTAAGGCGAGAAAACCACCCGCCCTCAATTCGTGAAACTCTTGCAACTTGCCAACAAGAAAGTGCGCGGCGCTAAAGCGAGAGCCACATTTTGACAACCACCCGCCTTCCATCTGTGAAACTGTTGCCACTTTGTAAGTTTCAGAATCGTAAGTGGTGAAGAAGTCCCAGGCGAAACGCCAGGCCCGCCCTAACAACTGGCCTCGGGGTGCGACAGGGAACAAACATTCATCAGGAAAAGGAACAGACGAGGAGGAGGAGGATGAGGATGATGTTGATGATGAGGATGCTGAATCTGATGGTGATGATGATGATGATGATGAGGAGGAGGAGGAGGAAGAGGATGAGGAGTGACAGAAGAGAGCTGAACGGGGAGAGGAAGCTCGTTTGGGCCTTGTTATTGGTAAGAAGCTTTATTGAAGGTTGCTTGGGGAACACAGCTGCGGGAAGCTCTCTTAGGAGCTCCGTCGGAATTATCTGAATATCTTGGGATGGTCTTGGGCGCCTCGGAATGGTCCGGGGCTTCGTTCGGGGTCCGCGGCTGTCTTTGGGGCTTCTAGGGTTCCAGAGAGAACGAAAGGGTGCCGTGACTGATGGCGCTCTGCTTAAAGCTCCCTGGCAAGTGTCGGAGCCTATTGGGAGATTCTGGGGCATCGGAGTGGTCCTGGGACGGTTCTTGGCCCGTAGGGAGCTGCGGGAGGCCCATCGTCTGGACTATCCTCGGACCCTCTGGGAGGTCTCTCGGGGGTCTTCCTGGAGCCTCCGTGGCGCTTCCGAGGCCATTTCGGAGCGCTCTTGGGCCGTCGTGGAGGCTTGTAGGGGCGTCCTGGGGCCAACTGGGGGGGCTGTTGATGTTGGAAATCTTGGGACGTCTGGGGACTATGTTGGATGGTTCGGGCCGTTTGGGAGCCCGCTTTGAGCCCTCTTCGGCAGCTCTTGAGGTCTTCTTGGGCGGCCATTTGGGGGATGTCCTGAGCCGTCTCGGGCTGTCCTGGTGCGATATTGGCGGTCTCGGGCCGTCTTGGGGCCCGCTTTGAAATCTGTTGGGCAGCTCCTGGGGCCCTTTTGGGGCTGTCTTGGGGGCCACGGTCTCAGGCCGTGATGCTGTGCACCGGCCTTGGGCGGTCCATCCTCTTCCGCGCGCCGCGCCCGTCCCAGGCGCGTGCGCCAGAGTTGCAGCCCCTGCGCTACTGGTGGATTGTCCCCAGTCGCAGTCTCGCTGCCCCGCCTCGGGGGCCACCGCCACTGCGGATCGCCCCCACCTTTCCCGCGCCGCCGCGCTGGACGGCTGGCTTGGCGCCTCCCTCTCGCTCTGAGGGGCCCCGCCCGTGCGCCACTTAGACTTGGCGTCGCGTGGCTCTGGCCGTGATGCCGCGCGCTGGCTGTGGAGTGGCGCTCCTTCTCCTACCGCCCCCGCCCCCTGCGGCGCCCCGCGCCTGGAGTGCGCTGGCCGCGCCCTGCACCTGCTGCAGTGCCGGCCGACCTCTGCCGCTGGTTCCACGCCGCTGCTGTGCACCCCCCTTGCCGCTGCCACCTGGCTCCCAGCCGCCGCTGCCTCCACCCCTCTCTCTTGCCGGGCCACGCCCGCGCTGCTGCTGCTGGCCTCCCACCCTGGGTGCGCTGCGAAGCCGTCCCGCAGCCGCTGCCAGTTTGGGTCCTCAGCCCGGCCGCGCCCGCGCCCCTGCTGCAGCCCCGCCGCGTGAGTGCACCCCCGCGCTCCCTCCCCTCCCGCGGCCGCCCTCCCCCCTTGCCCTCCCCGCTTGCGTGTGGGCTAACTCGTGATTCCGCGCCCCGGTGTCACCTGGGCGCGCGCGCGGATTGCCTCTGCCGCGCTGCGACGTACAAGGTATGTTTCGTCGCAAGGTGAACAAACTGCTCCTCGATGGTCCCGGCCGCGAAAACATGCACACGTCCGAGCGATGCCAAGGTCTTGGGGCTGTCAGCGGCCATCTTAAAGCTACCTGGCGGCTCTCCGGAGCCGTCGGAGAGCGCCAGGGCGCCGCGGGCGCTCGGGGGCAATTTGTTTTTCCAGTGTTTACCCCTTTCGCACGCGCAACGCCCAGAACTGTAGAACAGACCAATGTGAATCTACAGCCAACAAGAAGATTAAGACAATCATTATTTCAGAAATCTTG